TGTAATTTGTTACCATCAGATTGCTGAAAAAGAATAGCTCCATACCCGAATTTACTTGCATCGGGATGCAACTCAAGCTTTGCTCCTTGTTTAAAAATGTGTAGTACTGGATTTTCAGAAAGTTTTTGTTTTAAAGTTTGAAATGCTGTTTGTTGTTCTTAGCCAAAATAAAATACACTGTTATCCCGAAGTAAATCACTTAATGGTTTAGCAATTACAGCATAGTTAAGAATAAACTTCCTAAAATATCCGGTTAACCCAAGAAAACTCTGCACCTGTTTAGTAGATTAAGGTACAGGAAAATTTTGAACAGCTAATATTTTTTCGGAAGAAGGTTTTATGGTAACCTTATCAATAATATAACCCAAAAAGTTAATCTTAGACATCAAAAATTGGCATTTCTTTAAATTAAGTTCCAATCCATATTCGGACGCAGTTTGTAATACTCTCGTTAACCTGTTTAGTGCGTCTATTTCATTTTTCTGCGGGTATAAAAATATCATCCATGAAGATGACAACAACACCTTCTCTAAGAAGATCACGAAACACATAATTGATCTACCTCTGGTATGTACTAGGGCTATTACACAACCCAAATGGCACTTTATTAAACTCATACTGCCCATCAGGTGTCACAAATGAAGTATATTTTTTGCTATCCTTGTCCACGTCTATATGGAAAAAAAACGTTTCGGAGATCAATTTTGCTACATATTTTAGAACCTTGTAATTGGTCTAACACATCTTCAATAAGAGGTAAGGAGGTATCTATCTTTAATTGTTTTAGAATTTAAATTTCGGTAATCTATGCATAATCTTAGGCTATTATCTTTCTTTTTGCAAAGAACTATTGGGGAGCAATAATCAGAGCAACTCTCTCTAGTTATATCTGTTTTAAACCATTCTGATATCTGATTATTTACTTTTTGTTCCTCAGAAAAAGATAAACGTCTAGCTCTTTGACATACTGGGATTTCATTTTTTAAAATAAATTTCATTGTTAACATAGTGTCTTTAATTTTATTTGGCTGGTAATTATTAATCAACACTGACAGTTCATTTCTAATACAAGAGTCATTAATATGTGATAAATCAAGTTCTTCTTACTAGACACACTGTTGATAATAAATAAAAAACATTCGCAAGATAAAGAGTCATTAATATTGAAACAAGAACACTCATAAAAATCTCCACTCTCAGAAGTTACGATTTGAGTATTTACACTTTTTTCAAGTGTAAATACTCCAATCGTAACTTCTGAGAGTACCTAGCTGGCCTAGTTTCATTAATTGATTGTATGTAGCTAGCGTTATTATTGCATCACAAGTTAAATGTTCTGAAATTGCGGAGCTGACCTTCAACCCTGACTCATTGGGATTTAAAGACATATCAATCTCTCTAAGTTTCGCTTCTCGTCTATCCCCAAAACACGAGGTTAGTATTATGTTAGAATGGAGAGAATCATTTTTTTTTATTTGAATTAATCAGCGATAACTGAGCTCCAGAATCAATTATGGCATTCACTGGGATATTTTTATTCAAATAACTCTGAGCATACTTCAACTCGTGTTTAAAATTATTCTCTCCAGATGGTTTGCAGGAATTAACACTAAAGCTTTAATTTTTTAAGTTATCACTGGGGGAGGTATTTTTTCTTTCTGATTTATCGCTTCTGGAATCATATGTTTTATTCAATCTCTTAGAGCATTGGCGCACAAAATGATTAATTTCCCCGCAAATATAGCATTGTCTTTCCGCTCTATTTGGTTTAATTACCATTTGAGAAACACGATCTGGCTGGTTTTTTCTAAAACTTCGCTTCGAAAGAAAGTGCTCTGCACATTATTATGGGTATTGGAAACTTCTCTGTGAGGCATATTTTTAGACGAAATGTAAATGTCTAATTCTCGTGCTAACTCGACGGGATTAAACCAATTTTCCCCCTGACGGATTAAAATATGATTCGCCATCTCTTTATTTAATGTCTCAATTATTTTATCGGATATGATTAAGTTACATAATGATTTAAATGTTTCAACTTTACGTAATTTGCAATAATACTCGAAGGGTGAATTTAAGCGAGAAGCAAATTGAATATGTTTCTTCTTTAAATTTTGAAGCATTTTTAAAGTTATTCAAACATTCTTGGGGAGTTTGTTGAGAATCGCACAATATTAAAGCTTTTAATTTTTCATAGTTTTTTGAATCATCATCTTCAATGTATAACAAGACGCTGTTTGCTTTTTCACCTAGCATATTGATTAAGATTTCGGCTTTAAGCCCCTCATTTATGTTTTTCATAGTAAAAGCTCTTTCCAACGATGAAAAATATTGATTGAAATTTTCAGGTTTTGATGGAACTGGAAGAGATAGAGTTTTAATGCTATGAATTAGATTCTCAATGTTTGTTTCGGGTGTATCATTTATTGTTTTGGGAGGGTCAATTTCAAATGCTTTGTTTTTCGCCTCTAATAAAAGCATTTCTTTCTCGAGTCTTTCTAATTTTAATTTTTCTAACTCAACTTGAATTTCGCTTTGTTTAAGTTCCCTGTCCGCTATTTGTACTCTTTCTTCTACGGCATTAGTTAATAAATTTTTGACAAATTCTGAATCATTCTTAAATATTTCGATAGATTCAATTTTTTCTTTTAACTTAACGATATTATCGCTGCTGTCTGCGACGCCTCCTATTTCCTCTAATACTTTTACTAGGTCTTCTTTTTTTGAATTTTTATATATTTTTAAAATTGAAAATTTCCTACCTTGATTGAAGAGACTCCCAGTGTCCAATGGTAATCCAATGTTCTTCGATTCGTTGATTCAAACTAGATTCGTATCCAAGGATTTCACAACTGCACTTTCAGGAAAAGTTGACTCCCCTTCTGATTTGCACAAAATATTCTAATAGTTCCGGAAAGTTTCTGGTTCAGTTCTGCTCTTCATTGCAGATTCAGTTATTGCTGCTGTCCTTCGCGACAGATTCAGTTATTGTTGCCGTCCTTCGCGACAAACTCAGTTATTGCTGATTTAGGAGTGCTCAGCGGTCCCTGCTGCTGCTTTTCTCCACTCGTTGATTTTTTGGTTGCACTTCTCCACTCTTGATCAGTATGACTCCGGAAAATTCGTGGATTCCAATTGCCCTGGTCGGCAGATTCAAGACAGAATTTAACACAGGAACAACATTCGAATGAATGTTAATTTGAGAAACCGCTCCTCCACGAGCGTAGAATTTCGATGATTCCCCTACTCGGGATTTAAAACAGGAACAAAATCTGCAGCTCCTACGCGAGAGCAGAATTTCGCTTTTCTTTTTTCAATTTTCGGTGAATATCCCCTTCTCGGGATTTCAAAAGTTATTTGACTGCAAAATCCCCTGCTCGGGATTTCGAAGTTGTTTGGCTAAAATCCCCTTTGCGGGATTTTAAAGTTTGGGAATAGTTACGGCTCGTTGTTCACATCCCGGTCGCAAGCCCCCATTATTTGTGGGAGTTAGTGCAGCATTAGATGAAATAACGACGATAATTTAACAAACATAACACAGGGTGCATAGCGAAATTATTCAACAAAAAATAAGCACATTTTAAGCACTCAAAAAATATTTTTAACCACTTTAAAAAATATCATAACTAGGCAAGGCTGGAAAGTTTTTGACAGTTGACGGTTTTATCTTGTTTTAACCGATATGTCGAAAAAAAAAACATTTTGGCATTGTTTTTGACTATTGTCAAAAATCATGAAATTTTGAATCATGTAAAACGAATGGCGTTTTCATACGCTACGGACTGGCAATACGCCAAAGTAGATTGATTGGGTTTGCATTAATTGTGAAAACGTTGAATAGAACAATGTGAACTGTGTCTTTTTGCATAATTCGAAGCAAAAATCAACATGGTAAAGGAAAAATCTCATTTTGAAAAAAGGAAAACTAAGCACTTTTTAAAAACACCCAATAAAAAAGCACCTTTAAGGTCTCTCAAAAAAAGAAAATTAGCACCTTTAAGCACTTTTTAAAAACGCTACGCACCCTGTAACAATTTAATAGAAATAAAAGGTTAGAAGGATAAGTTTAATATTATTGACATGAGTTTAATATTATCTCCTAAGTGCATGTGATTAAGAAATTAAGTTATTCTATGGTATAAAGTTCAGAGTTAATTATAAATTCGAGAGTTTCCCATCAGGACTGGTTGGCGCCTCTCAATGCCAAAGAAGATGATGTAACTTCTTTTAATATTACAAGATGACTGACGGCTTACACAATCTGCCGAGATATTACACCATCTTGCTGAAAGTCTACATATATATATATGTGTGTGTAAAAACATCACTTGGAAGGTATGTAAACCTTATGGGTTTTAGTGGGGGAGGTCAAGTATTATTCTTAGGAAAAATAATAATTTTTTTTATAGAATTTATACGAGGTTTATTCCGAAGTTTAATTTATTAAAAACCAGAAGAAAATTTGTATTAAAATTAATACCAATTATAGTTTTAGGGGGACACTACCTAAGCAAGAACTTTTCCTCCCCATTAATTAAAATTTTTTCTTAAAATTTTGTTGCAGCTGTCACTCTCAGTAATTTTTACATTTATAACTGAGAAAAAAAGAAACTATTCATTACTCAGTTAATTTATATTTTTCCAATCAATACAGATTCCACACACACAACTCAAAAATGCTCCAAAAATCTTTCTTTCTTGTTGTGGATTTTTTTCCCTTCTGGTTTCTGTCATTGTGTAATCATATTAACATGAGAATATGACATCTTTGTGCATAAACTTTTTATTTCAGTTTGTTGACATGTTAGGCCGTGCTTATGTGTCAGTACAGATTAATTTTTTTTAAAATCTGTTTAATTATTATATTTAATTATCATCTGGCATACTAGTTTATAGCCTTACAAATAGAACTCATAATATTGCACAGAAGAAGTAAAAACAGGGTGGTTTTAATAAACTTACAATATCTTCAACAAAAAACAAATAAAACAGAAAATTAGTATATTACTAAAAAAATTATTTTATCTATACAATGTATTATACAATTCATACAAATATCAATGGATTAAATTTCTTCCAAAAAGGCATTTCATCAGATTTTCCCTAAAACATAAATAAAACAAATTATAGTCTATCTCATTATTATTCCACTTCAGTTAGCACAATTTACGATGTCGATGGATACATTTTTCAAAACCAATGGATGAATTTTAGTGATCTGACATTTATCTACAAAGAATTAATATCAATAGCAAAAGTATTTAATCTCTTTACGATGGGCGAATCGTATATGTATTTCCTACAGACTTATCCCAGGCCTGGGTGGTTCACCCGTGCATTGTTGGAGAACTAGCTTCATGAGCAGATGGTGTATATATGCATTTTAAACAGAAACAATTTTTATGGCACTCTGTGTCCATTACTGAACGCAGCTTTAGTATTGAAACTGAAAGTAGTTTTAGTATTCTGACCTTCAGATTGTTTATATTCCGCCTGTCTTTGAAATTTGCTAATTTTCTGTAGCTGGGGAGAGGGAAATCGTAATGTAAACAAACAGAGCTCGGCTATTTAACTTTCCTTGCTTTATAAACATTGCTTTATAAATCTTATAGCTCTTCGAAACTTTTTATTTTATTTTTTTTCACTACTATGTGAGGTCTATAAGGGTTTTAGCATCAGTTTTGTTACAGTTTTTGTTGCTTTCAGATATATTTTGTGCACTTCTCTAGTTACTTCAGAAATCCTTGACTCCAGATTATTATGGCGAGTAAGCGTTATTTATCAGAGAATGAGTCAACTCATATGACAAATGAACCAATTAGTGTTATAGAAGAGAGCAATGATTCTTTTGCTAAAAAGTTAAAAAGGCGTTATAGCGATTTTGACACATACATTTATAGTTGTGTTTTCTATTTCCCATAAAAGTTCGACTCAATATACTTTATCTTTTATTCGAGAGCTTAAGGAATTACATCATCATACAGTTATTGGAATACCGGAAACAAATTCTGTAGATCATACAGAAAAAGAAATTGATTCCTTTAATGTTTTTTTAACAAGGTTCCCACTCTTTTAACAAAGCAAAATTTAAGCACTTTTAAGGACTTTTTTTGAAAAAAAAAATTTAAGGACTTTTTTTGAAAAAAAAAAAATTTAAGGACTTTTTTTGAAAAATTAAGGACCTTATAAATTGTATGATTGTTTATCATCGAAAAAATATATACCACCAGTGACAGTGATAATTATTTAACTTTCTTGAAAAAATCAATCAATAAAAAAAACAAAATAATAAACAATTTAATTATAATGTAAGCGCTGGTAAAATTGTATTAATTAACAGGGCTTGCCAAAGTAGGACCAGACAATTTTTGCAAACCCGAGTAGGGTTTCTTTAAAAAAATTTTCAGATTGTTAAGGAATAATGACATCTATGAAACTTATCAGCAATCCCCTTTTAATCATTTCATAGAATTGTAAAATTAGGTGCAGAAATTAAAATTTGCAATTTTTTCATATATTAAAAAAAAAAGATGAAATAAAGAAATTTGAGAAAAATATTAAAATATTATTACAAGTTTTTATATTTCGCTACTAGACATGCATCACACATTCAGCTGTGGGCCAATCTTGGTAAATATTCAGTTGCACCAAAATAATATTTTTTTTTCTATTAACAAAATGTTACATTTATAAGGGTATATATTAAAAAAAATCAATACGAAGAAGTAGAATTAGAGTTATGCATGAGAGTAGTTTTCTTAATTATGTCATGTTAAATTAAGTCCTATTTCAAGTAAAAACGGGTCATACTAATATCTAAGCACCTTAAATCTTTCCACTTTTTTTCATTAGGCTTAACTTAATATACATATATTTTTTTAAATTCATTGCAATAAATATATTTATGAAAAGTTTTATAGAATAAAAATACAATTATGTTTAAGATTTATAATTTTCAAACCAATATGTTTTTTATAAGTTCTCGGTGAAACATATAAATAAAAGGGTCTAAATTGATTTTTCAAAGGTATCAATGCATTCCTAAGGTCAGAAAATTGGTAAGGTTACTTAATTAACAAATATTGATAAATTATTTATTTTTTCATCATTTATAGATATTTACTTGTAATATTTCTTTAAAATCCTCTATCACTCCTAATATTATTGTCTACAATTCTTATGATTTGATAATTGATTTTTATCATGAATTTGTAGTTTTGAAAAAATATATTGAAAAATTGTATGAAAAAAATAGTGAAAACGGTATGTAACTCAACCATTTTGAAATTATTACCTAGCAGCAAATGTGTTATATTTACTTTTATAATGAGCTTTACAATTATTTCGAGCCAAAACTATATTAGGAATTACCTTTACATTATATTACTAAACAATCTGACACAAAACATATACTGATTTTAAAGCAACCAAAAGTTAAATAAAATTAAAAAAAAAAACAAAAACAAAAACAATATCTTAAGTTGCAATGTTAACTGAGAAAAATGATTATTAAAATGTAAGGATGAATTTTATTCTAATAAACATTAATAGTAAAACGTTAATTTAGTAGTTTTAAATTTTTATGTAACAATCTGCTTATCCTTAAGAAATAAAAACAATAGTGTAACAATCTAAAACTTTAAAAATTTTACATTGCAGCAAAACAAGTTATAAATAGTTACCAAATATTTATCTTTCTTGTTCGGAGCAAATCATGCATTCTTATTTAGTACTCAGGAATAAAAATTTTAAATATTTTTGAAAAAAATTGAGGTTTTCATCAAAAACCCAATAAATCTAAATGTAAAACCTAGGTGGGATGGGATTTTACAAACCCTGCTTATTACAGATCTGTTTAATTTTTAGTACAATCATGAATTTTAAATGCTACAGCTTTTTGTAAATTTACAGTTACTTATTACACACTGAAATAATTATACAAATGTATTTAATTTTTCCAAGAGTTTTGGAAATAGTTTTCGTTATGGATTCTAGTTCAAAACCTTTTTCTGATACTTCTTTTCTTAGGGTTTTATTTTGTTCCTATGAGCAGATACATTACCAGTAGAACTGAATTTCTTGAATTCTGTCAATTTTGAAGGTCAGTGTGGGTCTCCTACTTAAGTACTATAGAACTGCCCCCCTCCCCCCCAAAAAGCACTATCTCTTCAATGTGCAGTAACCCCCTTGCCCACACTCTATTCTTTTTCTTTATTATGTCACTCTTCTCATAGGGTATCTTTCTAGGCAAAAAGGCAGAATATATTAATGAAAGAAGCAATATAATTAATAAAAGAACATGCTTTCTTTTCCTTGCCTGTAGCTCTTTCTCACACATCCCTTCTTGTCTCTCTAAAATGCTTTACTCTTGGTACATGGTCTAATTCGAGGTAATAAAAGAACGACTTTTTGTTTTAAAACATTGAACTGAAAAATTGTTCCTATCAACTACAGTGATGCTGAAAAATTAAGCACTTTTAAGTACTTTTTTTTCTTGTGGAATATATGCATTCCATAAAAACGAATATTTGTGGAACAGTAAAAAAAATCAAGAAAAAGAATGCCCAAAGACTTTCCAGAAAGAAAATTAAAAAAGGGTGAAACAGATGTGATGCAACTAGGCAACGTGAACTTCATTGCATTCAAAGAAAAAAAGAAAGACGTTTTTATGCTAACAAGCAGACATGAGCCAGAAATGGCTAAATCTGACAGTAAAGATAGAGTTATTGGAGAAGATATTTTAAAACTTGGTGATTATAACAAAAACATGGTGGTGTAGACAAAGCAAATAAAGTTATGACACATCATTCATGTTTTAGAAAAACTATCAAATGGTACAAAAAATTATTTTTTGGGCTTAAGGACAACAATATTGAATTCCAACATTCTGTATGACAAAAAACATGGCAATAAAACACTGCTTCTGCAATTTAAAATGAAATTAATAGAGCAAATGTTGGAGAACTATCAAAATTATAGAGACAAAAAGCAGTTCACAGTGAGATCTATACTAGCAGCTATCCGACTATCTGGCAGGCATTTTTCTACCCTTAATATGAACAAAAGGGAGAAAAAGCCATAGAAAGTGCATAGTTTGTTCACAAACCGTGCTGAAAGAAAGAAAAATGTAACTAATATTTTATGCTTTCAAATCATGCAATATAGGACTTAGCGTTTTTCTGTGCTTCGAGATTTTTCACACTAAGCCTTCATTTTAAATTTTGTTATTCCATCTTGTAAACAACCTTTGTTGTATATTTTTTATTAATTTGAAAGTATTTAATGAGTTTTGTCAATTAAAACTTTCGAATAATTGGAATAGCATTTTCAAAAATTATTTCTTGAAGGGATGCCAATTATTTTAATACATTTTCATGTTAATTGAAGGAAAAACATTATGAAGACTACTTTTAACAGACACTTAAACACAGTCTAGCATTAACAGATTATGTAATAACCTAAAATGGTACCAAAAATTAAGGCAGTAGGACTTAAACTTTATTATTTTTGATTTTTTCTTCTAAACTTAGGTCCAGTAGTGCAAACCCCCATCCTATAGTATAATTTCTCACACTTCAGCTTTGTCCTTAATGAGTGCCATAAACAAAGGCGCCCTGTCGTAAAAATATAATATAATGCTAAAAACTGATACATAGTAGCAAAAGTACACTGTCTGATTACATGGAGCAATGGTTCCCCAAATACATTAATGGCAAAAAGCACTCAACCTCACCTGTTGCTTTCAATATTTATTAAATACAGGCTGTTTTATAATGAATGCCTTTAAAATACATTGTTTAGATACTTTGTCTAAAAAGAAATAAAAAAGTATACAAAATGGGGTTGCAAATTAATATTTAATCAAGGACAAAACAAAAATTTAATCAAAAATTAAATGATAACTTATGAAGGCTGGACAGAAAACATAAAAACCTGTTTGATTGAGACCGGAAACAGAGGAAAGTTGAAAGGCAATTATTCGAAACACCACCAATTTTATTAAGGCAATTAAATTGATTTTAGAGTATTTTTTTGTCCTAATTAGATATTTGACTGATTCTGATAGTATCTTTGCTGTTTTTTTAGTTGCTTAAAAATTAACT